GGTTTTTGTATCAGGGTAATGCTGGTCTCATAAAAGCATCATCTTTTGGATGGAAGCATCATCTCCTCTTCTATTTTTTGGAAGCATTTTTTGAGAAGAATTAATTAATTGCTTTTTGGATATTTGGTGGAGTTCACCATGGAAGCTGTCTGGTCCCAGGCTTTCATTTGTTGGGAGGTTTTTAATCACTAACTTGATCTCCTTACTAGTAATAGGTGTGTTCAGATTTTCTATTTCATGATTTAGTCCTGGTAGGGGAGGGAGATTTATTCCAACCATGCCTTTTAGAATTTATGGGTTAAGTTATTCATTTATCCATTGCGTAGGTAGAAAGTACAAGCATAGAGACCAATAAAAGGAGCAGGATACTCCGTCCTCCAGGAGCTTACAGTTTGTCCAGAGATCTTTTCTAAAGAATAAATTTTATCAAAACATTTTATTTATTTGTGAAAGAGAGTATGGGGTGTGGGAAAGGGCAGAGGGAGAAGGAGAAGCAGACTCCCCACTCAGCAGAGAGTCCCAATGTGGGGCTTGATCCAGGACCCTGGGATCATGCCCTGAGCTAAAGGTAGACAGTTAACTGACTGAGCCACCCAGGTGCACCTAACAATAAATTCTTTTTGAATAATTGATATGTTCCCATGGTTTAAATGTCAGCAAATCAAAAGAGAAAAAGTTAAGCGTCTCTTCCCCTCTCTTCCAGCCATCTAGTTCCCGCTCGAGGGGTAACTACTGTGAGTAATGTCTTCTGTCTCTTTCTGAAGACATTCTCTTCATGTCGTTCAGTGGCTTTTAACAGGCCCCAGAAGGTGGAGCTCATCAGGACAACCCAAGCAAAATCTTCTAAGGGCACATGACTGCAGCCATCAGGCGATGGGATCAGGGAGGATGGGCAGGCAGAGAGATTCTGAAAAAGATATCCCGGAGGGCTTGAGTATAATCCCCGCTCCAGCCCCAGCCCTGGGTCTCGCCAGACAGGAGAGATATTTACATGCAGGAATGGACATAATAATACAAGATTTCACTAGAGACGAAGGTCACATTCCTGGTACTTCCAGACAGACAGTGCCCTCCCCCAGAGGACCGAGACAGCAACAGTGGGTCTGCCGTGGCTGGGTGGGGCTTTAAGAAAGCTTACTGTCTTCATCCTTTCTGGGCTTCCTGTTCCTCATTTATGAAACCCCTAATCTAGGGTTTTAAACTTTTTTTTTCCTTGAGCCCCTGTAGCAGTCTGAAGGAACCCATAGACTTCTTTAAATGCATGCGTGAAACATGCAGGATTATAAATGAAAACAATGACACTGACATATGGCAGTTTCCCCACATGGTGGCCCCTGAGTAGTCCCACCGGACAGAGACTCCTGCTCTGAGGAGGGCCACGGCCAGGTTCCGGCTCCCACGGGCTGCTCCGCATCTTGGCACTGCTTGGGGCCTGGTGGTGTTCGCTAGAAGACAGGGGGAAAGATCCCTCTGAGGCGACTTCACAATGAGTCAAATGAACAATCCCTTTCTCCCCATAATTAGCTTCCCCTCTGTCCACACAGGTCTCTCCTAACTGAAGAGGACTAGGTTTCCAAAAGGTAGCAGCGCTGTTCTGGGAGACAGAATCCCAGCCTGCTGGGGAGAGAGGGGCAGCAGCTGCCCTCACAGCCGGGCTTCTCTAGCCTGGTGGAGAATTTCGGAGTCGGCCTGCACAGGTCTTACGCTGTGTTACGGTCTCCATCCTGGTCGCCGGAGTCTTAGCCTTGGAGAGGGATGGTGGCCTGCCAAGCTTCTGTTGCCGGCGTGTGACGGGGCCACTGGGCCTCACAGGTGCCTGTCTCAGGACTGGCCTGCCAGCAGATGCAGAAGAAAGTTAGGTTCCTGCCGTTGCCCTTTTGCCCTCCTCCTTCTGGTGTTGGGCATGGCACCCCTGGAGGGAGGTCGGTGTTTTAAGCAATGGAGTCTTGGGTGGCCTAGGCCACATGTTTTCTTTGCGGATAATTTAACATCGGCTAAGACGACATCAAGGATTTTGTGCGCCTGTGGAAGGCGCTGAGCCGTGCGATGACTCCCAGTGGGCCAGCCTCCCTCCAGACACCACAGCGCGGCCTTCAGTCGTCCCTCTGCTGGGAGCTGGGGGCTCTGTGCGCCGGGAGCTGCTGTTTCTGGTATGTGTGTTCATGTGCGCTGCAGTCAGTACCTGAACTGTAATTGAAATGGCCGATTTTCAAAAATCTATTAGAAGCCAAAATTGCCTTCAGTAGGAGAGCGTCAGAAGGGCCGGGTTCACACACGCGTTCTGCCGTGTGGATACACGGGCTCCTTCAGAGTCCGTGCCTCCAGGACCCAAATACGGTCTCTTAGGAAGATGTCCATCTGCATATCATTCTTTCCACTACACGGCAAATCCTCCATTTCCTCCGTCTCCTGCGGGTCCTCTCTCTCACACAGAGACGTGTACATTCGTTAAGGCAAAGAGACAAAGAGGGAAAAAACCCACAAGTTTTATCCATCCATTTATTCCAAAATTATACATTGCGCCTTTGGCCCTTGCTAGGTATGAGGCACTGTCCTGAGATAAACCGTAGTCAAGACGCGCACAGTCCCTCCTTCCATGGCGTGTATAGCCTAGAAGGAGGAGATGGACAAGATGCAAATAAACAAATGTGCTAGGAAAGTATTGGGTGCCAGTGCTCTCCAGATAAGTGGTCTTAGGATGTGACAGTGTGACTGAGTGGTCACTCTCCGCAGGGCAAGCAGGGAATGCCTGCCACCCAGAGGAGTGGACTAGTGTCAGAAGATGTGGGAATCGGGGACATGGCATCAAGGCATGACAGGCATCATGGGCAGGCCCATGCCTGTCAGGTTTAAGGCACAGAGAGAAAGCCGGAAGGTGGAGTTGATGAGAGGCAGGAGCCAGATCAGAGGACGTGATGTCCTCATTGAAGGTTTCCAAGCAAGTGAGTGAAAAATTCCCTCCGACTCAATTAAATGACTCATAATTCCCATCAGGTGCACACAGTGGGGTTTACGTGGGGGACCTCAGCAGAGAACAGCAGAAGGTAGCTGGAGCCAGCTGGAGTTTGTGCGGCATTTAACTCGCTGCTCACTGCGTGTCATTTCATCTAGACCCTACAACAGCCCCACGAGGGGAGCATTGTTACCGGCTGTTTATCTACCAGAAAAGCAAAGTGCAGAGGTGGAGGGATTCACCTGTCCAGAGGGCAGACCTGGGATTCGAAACCCACTGTGCAAGCGCCAAGCCTCTGCTCCCTATACCTTCCTGGAAATGGACCCCTAGACAGCTTTTTTATTATCGTTGTCGATTTATTTTTATTACTTATTTTTTTAAAACCCATGACTGATTTATTTATTTAGTAGTCTATACCCAAGTGGGGCTCAAACTCATGACCCCATGGTCAGGAGTCTCATGCTCCTTTGAGCCAGCCGGGTGCCCCATACTACTTATTTAATAGATGTGAAACATTTGAACACTACTGAGATGGAGTAGTTTTTCATGTGTCTATTTTTAAACTTATAATAAAAACATACAATATAAAATGTCATTTTAACCACTTTCAAGTGTACAGTTCAGTGGCACTAAGTACATTCACACTTTCTTGCAACCGTCACCACCATCTATTTCTAGAACTTTTTTGTCATTATGGATGTGCCTAGTCTAGATATTTTATATAAGTAGAATCATCCAGTATTTGTCCTTTTTGCCTGGCTTCTTGGATTTAGGTCTTTAGGGTTGGTTCACGAAGTAGCATACGTAGGAACATTATTCCTTCTTATGGTTGAATAAAGTCCCATCGTGCATACATATCACATTTTGTCTGTCGATCTGTTGATGGAATTTCCACCTGGTGCAGCTTTTCACACAGAGACAGGACCTTACGTCTACTCACTCCTGTTCTGGGGATGCTTTCTGATTCCTGGCAAATCTGTGTTTGTCCCAGGTTGGGGGTGACCCTCCACTGTGTGTGTGGTTAGAGTTGCTGAGTTTAAGGTAACTAGCCTTGCTCTATTGAAAAAACTCAAGGGGGTGGTGTCTGGGTTACTCTATCCATTGAGCCCCTGACTCTTGATTTTGGCTCATGTCATGATCTCAGGGTCATGAGTTCAAGTCCCACCTAGGGCTGTGGAGTCAGCTTGTCCCTCTCCCTCAGCTCCTTCTCCAGTCACTCTCTCTCTCTCTCTCAAATAAATACTTAAAACACACACACACACACACACACACACACACACACACACACAACTCAAGAGGAACACTGTAATTGTTCTTGTGCCAACACCAGTTCTAATTAGGTTCTCCCACTGTCCGCTCTGTAGACAGAGAGCAGCAGAGAGGTCCACAGGGGTTATTTCTTTGTTTACTTCTAAGCAAAATCATTTCCTGTAGATGGAAATTTAGCTCACCTTCAAAATTCTCCACAGTAGCCACCCAGGAGCCCCAAGTCTCTGCTGGGGGACCCTGGGCAGGCCATGTCTATCTGGCTTTGGTGTCTGCGTCTAAAATGATATTAAACTTCTTCTAAGAGCTCATGTGTCCTTCCCAGACAGAGAGGTGAAGTTCGTTTCTAACTCTACTCTGGGTTCTTCCTTGCTATTAGTACATTAAGCCCGTGCCTCTCTCCTCTTTGAGAAGCTGCTGGTCAGTGTCCCTTGTAGTAATCCTATATTCCCGTGATGGGATGACAAAGCCAACTCCCGGATGTTGGGCCCAGGGACTGCTGCTGTCCCCACCCCTTAAACTCCCCTCCCCCTCACTGGGGTGCAGCGAGACAGGGGGTGCCCTTCCCTCCCAGCAGCCTTTGTCTGGATGCCTGGAAGTGCTGGGTGGCCTTGGGAAGTGTGATTTATGTCTTCCTGGATGAACTGCCGCCGCTTTCATTGCCAGGAAAGCAACGATGCTGGCGGCTACCTGTTTCCTCAGCTGCAGGACAGGAGAAAAGCCATGCTGCCTCAATGTCCCCTGAGGCACTAGGCCGCTCACGGCCAGTTTTCTCTTTCAGAGTCATAAATCTGAGAAATCCGGTGCTGCAGCAGGTGCTGGAGAGGAAGAGTGAGGTCCTGTGTGTCCTGACCCAGAGGATAGTGACGACGCAGCCGTGTGTGATATCAGAGCACATTCAGATAGAGGAGAAGTGTGGCGGCATGGTGGGGATCCAGACCAAGACGGTGCAGGTGTGTGTGCCGGGGGGCAGGCACGGGCTCCATGGGCTCAGCAGCCTCTCGGGGCCCAGTCCTTGCGGCCGGGGGCAGGGGCCTCTTGAGGTGGTGTCTTCATTTGCCAGGACTCTTCTGCAGTGAGCTAACAGAAATCCAGCTCAAACCGGCTTAAATGAGAACTAATTTAGGGCTCATGTAACTGAAACATTCGGGGTTGTCTGGCTTCAGTCACTGCTAGGTCGAGATTCAGAATTGTGCAAAACCGCACGCACTGCCTTCCCTGGGGGTAGATCCCCGCGCAGGTGGGCGTTCTCCCTGTGGTGCGGCTTTCGTCCGGCTTGCTGCCGCCCCAGCGGGAAGTGTGCTCTGGGTAGGCTCTCGCTGGACCATCCCTGGTTGTAGCCATTCCTGAAGCAGACCCAAGGCCAGGGCTCTAGGGCCCTCAGAATGGCCATGCAGGCTTGGTCGGGTGCCTTCTCAAAAGAAAATGGGTCAAAGGAATACTGAATGCATAGGTAACTGCCAGAGCCCCTCAGAGTCAGGGTCTCAGAATGATTACTTTGGGATCAACTGCCTTAAATCCTTTATGGACTGAGTGAGGGAAGGTGAAGAGCAGTATATGTGTCTCTATACACATAAACAGAAGCTTCTGGATTAAAATAGAGACAGTCCTATCAGGCTGACCCCTGAGCCAGTACTGAACTTCTGTGGAACAAGAGGCTACCAATCCCAAACTGTTTCCTCCACAGCTTGCCACGTGCCTGATGTCCTATTCTTAGAGATTCGCTTCCTGGGGTAACTTGGCTTTTGCTAGAGGACCTGGGAAAGTTGTATCTGGAAGGAAATGGAGACAGAGGTCTGGTCTGGAGCTGGACTCTCTGTGGGGCAGTGATGAGGGAGATGCCCGACAGGAGAGAGCTTTGGCCGGCCCTGCCAGGGTTTCTGCCCATGGTGCCCCCCCCCCCCCCCCGCACAGGCCTGGCACCTGCTGGCAATCAGGAGGCTGCCTGTCCTCACACCAACCAGGATCAAGTTGCTAAATGGAGTCTCTGATCTCCAGTGTTGAGGCAACGATCTCCCTAGGCCATCATGGGAAAGGGTCATATTTGTTTTTTTTGTTTGTTTGTTTTTTTAAGATTTTATTTATTTATTTGACAGAGATCACAAGTAGGCAGAGAGGCAGGCAGAGAGAGAGGAGGAAGCAGGCTCCCCGCCAGGCAGAGAGCCCGATGTGGGGCTCGATCCCAGGACCCTGGGACCACGACCTGAGCCGAACGGAAGGGGTCATATTTGTAACAGTGTTGAGAGGAGAGAGCTGTAGTGCCTGACTGTTTGGCATTTCCTGGCCATCCCCCTCTCATCCTTTCCTCTCCTCCTTCCTGCCCCCACTCTGGGTTTGTCGAACAGCACAGTGTGCTGTCCACCGAGTCTGGAATGATGCCCTTTTGGGGGCTTCTTGGTCTTAGCAAGGTTCTTCCAGTCAGACTTTGACATTGGATTTTCATCATTGCCTGGGGTGTTAAAGTGGTTACTCTAATCCTGTGTGAGGCAAATGAGGAGTTATCTTGTTTATCTTCTTTATTCAGTACCAGAGACCTGGCCTCACTGTCTCCCACACTCTGAAATCCCACTTTTGCGTCCCCACAAAAGTTTGCTTGTTTACTTCCCAGTATGTGCCCTACATCACGAAGCCCACAGGGATAAAATCCTTACCTCTGCTGGCCGGCTTTTGTTTTTGCTGAATGCCTCTCATGCTCAAGGCCACAGCCGGGGGTGGGGGGTGGCGTGAGAGAAACGTGGGGTGGGGGGTCTGAGCACACAGGTGGCAACGTGCGCTCTCACTCACAGGTGTCTGCAAAGGAGGACGGGAACATCACCAAGGACACCAACGTGGTGCTAGAGATCCCGGCTCCCACCGCCATCGCCTATAGCGTCATCGAGCTGTACGTGAAACCGGATGGCCAGTTCGGTGAGTGCCGCCTCTGGCTCTGGGCATGAGAGGAAAGAGATGGGAAGTGTGGGGGTATCCTGGGACAAGTGAGGAAGGTGGGCTGCTTCGGGAGGACGTTGGTGTGGGCGAGATTTTACCCACACAGCACAGGGTCAGCAGCGTGGCCTCTGCCATCAGACTGGGTATCAGCCCTGGAGCTATGGTGCCTTTTTAGTGAGGCCTCAGGCAAGTTGTGGATGTCGCTGAGCCTTCACTCCCCATCTCTGGAAGTGGTGAGGCATTCCCTGGCAGGGCTGAGGTGGGGATTCCGTGGGAGGAGCCCCTGAAGTGCCCGGTGTGGTGAATGTTTAGTAAGTACTCTGTCTCACCTCTTAATCGTACCATCAGCAGCAGCAGCATCTCACCTTCCTTCACCCCCAGTATGAAACCAAAAACGTGGCACTTGACCTTGCTCTGCTGATCACCAGTGTTCAAAGCCAGGAGATCCTGGTTGTTGCATCATTTGAAGAAAACAAGAGCTTTAGCTTTGCACTCATGTCTGCTGATCTTGGACTCGGGGTGGCCCCTCCCTCATGCTGGTCCTAGGAAGAGGTTGTGTGGAGCCTGAAAACTGACCCCTTCAGGGAGCCGTGAATGCATAAATGTAATACAATGATTGACTTTTTCGGGTATAATAGTGTCATGGTTATGTTTATAAAAAAGAGTCTTCGTTTTTAGAGATTTGTACTGAAGTCTTCACGGATGAAATGGTAACACATCTGTGGTTGGCTTCGGAGATAATTTGGGTAGAGCGTATGGTGTGTGTGCGTGGAGTCCAGAGTGGTAAAGAGTAATCATCGAAGCTGGTCAGTGGGTATGTGGAGGTTCATTTGACTCTATTCTTGTGCCATTTCACCTTTTCCATAAGGAGAATGTTTTAAAAGGGGTGCCATAATAGACCATGCACATATCTACTGGGGTCTCCTGCTCCCCCCGCCCCACTTTGTTCTCCGTAAGGTTAGGGAGGAGGAAGTTGTCCGAGAGTCAGCCTTTTGTGTGCACTTGGCCCACACGAGGTCACCATGCCGTGGAGCCACAACTACAGGCACTTAGAACGTGGACCGTCCCAATGGGATAGTCACGAGCTCCTGGGTGCACGAGCCGCCACAGGAGACACACATGAGGCATGGGCTGCAGTGGCAGGGACTCCTCTCTCTTTACACATGGAGCAGCCTGCGTTTCAGGGAGGTGACAAAGAGTGAGGGTGTCAGTTTGAAGAAGCCAGTCTGGAGAGGTTGGTCAGGACACATGAAATGCCAGGAAGACCAAGAATTAGGCCATTGTTCCAAATCTGTTTCGTTGGCATTTTTATTACTTTTTCTGTCTCTTTGGAAGACTTCTGTGTACTGAACAAACTGCATCATTAAGAGGATTCTTTTGTCCCTGCTTCTGTTATCAGCACGTTACCACACGCATGTGCATGGCTCCAGACTAAGATGTAATCCGGGCCTGGTTACCTGTCCAGCCGGGCCGGCGCGGTTATCAGCCTCTTGAAAGCTCGGCCTGCACCTGGGGCTGCCCTGAGTGCTTCTGAGGACTTTCGGCAGCTGGGAATCAGGCCGGGGCTGCCACTCCAGGCTGTGGTCCCACGTGGGACCCCCTCCTGTTTCTCCGAGGAGGTGGCAGCATCCTGCTCTGCTTGCATCCCTGTTGGGGCGCCTGTCGCTCCTATGGGGAGCCTCTCTCCCCTCAGACAGGCTTGGGAAGACCGCCTTGTCTGGCTGTGGCTCTCCTGTTTGCATCTCGATTTCAAACCTTTTGTCTTGGCTGGCTTCTGCTGTCTTTGACAATAGCCTCCCCTTTTGCTGTGGAGAAGTGGAGAAGAGGTGCCTGGGGTGGGGCGGGGCAGGTAGGAGGGGGGACGGGAATTCTGGAGGTTATTTTGGCTCCCTTCCCACGCCCTGGCCTTGGAAGCCCCGCTCCATCGCTCTCTCCCTCTGCTCACTGTTACGCCTGTGCAGCCTGGTGACCGCGCTGACATCACATATGACTCGCTGCTGATTTTTAAGCAGTTCTGCTTTTTCCCCATTTTCCCACCTGTGTTTCTGTTGCTCTTGCAACAGAATATTCTGATCTGCCTTCATAAACATAGACCTGCAGGGGCCAGAAGGGCCCTTAAGAGGCTGTCTAAGGTCTCCTCCCACCTTCTGGGAGGGAGTACACTCGACAAGGTTGCTGAGGCTGACTCCCTGTATCCCTTGGGAGAAGCACCTGTGCGGTCTGTCTTCACCAAGACTCCCTCAGCCATGAACCCTTCCTTCACTAACAGCTCCCTCATATGCCAATCAGAAACATTATTTCATGGTCTTGAACTTTAGCCTTGTGCTTTGTATAATCAGGCATCGTGCCCATGTCCTTTCGGCATGTCCTTCTGACTGGATACCCGGTAGACAGGAGCCTGTGCTCCCCACCCTGCCTGGGTCTGTGCCTGCTCGGCTGGTCCACAGGCCCTGACAGCATCTCCCTACTGGGTCCCGCCGCACACTCTTACTTGGCTCCCCTGCTTCTCTGAATCTTTCCCCATCTGTCCCATCCTAGCAGTATAGCTAATGTGAACGTTTAAAAGTAAAACTTTGTGGTCATTTCACACACCTCCTTAAACACCCGTGTGAGGCTCCCTTTGTCACAAGAGAAAGCCTGCACTTCAGGTGTCTTGTGACCCAGCCCGGTATTTGTCCGGCCCTCCTCCTAACCTGCTCTGCATGTGCCGTCTGGCCAGTTAAGCCCGTCTGGGAACACTCCTCTCGCTCTTTTCCTGGAGTTCCATGACTGCCTGCATGCCGCCTCTTTGCCTAACTCCTACCGAAACATTAGGGAGTTCCTTAGACACTGCTTCATCCAAGGAACCTTTTCTAGTTCTCTCTCTGGCTTCAGGGACCTGTCTACCTCCTCCCCCACCACCTGTTACCTCTGTCCCCACTCAAGATATACTTCTTGTCGAGGCCTGGACTGTATCCCTTTGTAGCACTGGCTCCCAGCACAGTACCCAACACTGAAAAGAATGAGGGAGTTGGGGGGCGCCTGGGTGGCTCCGTGGGTTAAAGCCTCTGCCTTTGGCTCAGGTCATGATCCCAGGGTCCTGGGATCGAGCCCCACATCGGGCTCTCTGCTCAGCAGGAAGCCTGCTTCCTCCTCTCTCTCTGACTACTTGTGATCTCGGTCAAATAAATAAATAAATAAATCTTAAAAAAAAAAAACCAATGAGGGAATTGGTAGTGTCTCTGGGGGCCCATGCATGTGTACGGGCAAGAGTGGTGCTGGTGCCAGAGAGTCTGGAAATAGCAGTCGGCGGCCCTGGCGGCTCCTGGCAGCATCTGAGACGATATAAACAGTCATAGTGGCTGTCCTGGGGGAACTACTTTATTACCTGAGGGCTGGTTCACATTCATCTTTCTCGGAGCCTGGTGCAAAGGGCCAAGTGAGCCAGGCTGCTCTGGATGCCCGGTGAGTGTGGGTCATGATGAGTGAATGATTGTTTCCGTCTTTAGACAGCTGTTTGATCTTCTATGTCATTTGTGGCCACAAGCAACTAAAAATATATGCTAATCCTCATGCCTTCCACATTTTTATTCCATAGCCTGTGCTTAAGTACACAAGTTATTAATTAAAAGCGTAAAAAGAGCCCTAATTCACAAGTTCACTTACTGTTTTGGCTTATTAAGGATGTAATTATTACATAATAACTATTAACATAGTTGAGTTCTTAAATATGTAAATATGTAAGCAAATATTTATTTTAAAAAACCTTTTATTGTGGAAAATGTCACACATCTTCCAAAAGCAGAGATAATAATATGAACTCCCCTGTATTTGCCATCCAGCTTTAATAACTAGGGTGATTCATGTCTCATCTGTAACTTTACCACCTCACTCCACCCCACTCAATTATTTCAAAACAAATCATAGGCATTATATTGTCCCGTCTTTAAATATTTCAGTGTATCCAAAGGTGAGGCTGTTTTAAGACTAGTTTTGCCTTCATATAGATTCATGGAGAATGTATTCATTTGTGTCTTTTTTTCACTCAACATGTTTGTAACATTCATTCATACAATTGTGGAAGTCAAAAGTTCATTTTTTATTGTGTATTATTTACTAATGAGTAAAAGTTGACTTGAAAAATACAACCACATACCACTTATATACTTATATTAACAACAATATTTTATTACCAGTTCAGTCAAGTCAAATTTATTAATCAGATTTAATTTTTTTGTTACATATATGGTGAGTTGTGTAAGATCTTTTGTTAAAAAGAAAACCACAGGCCCCAAATGGTGTCCCTTTAAAATTTACTTAGTTGAATTTTTATTTAATGGTTTGTTCAAGTCGGGCTGAGAAAGTACTTCTGATGTCTGAAGGATTGCTTCCTACCTCCTCAGAGAGGACACACTAGACAGCTTTGAGAACAATGATTTCTCCTGTAACTGTGGGAAGGGGCTGAGATTTCATCTAATAGCATAACGTGTAGGAAGTGGGTTTTGGGGTCAGAGTGCATATGTTCCCCTGCCCCCACTTCCCCTTAGGTAAAGCTGGGCCTGAGGTGTGCCAGCAAGGCCCAGCTGACCCTGTGCCTGCTTGTCCTTTTCTCCCACATTACAGAATTCTGCCTCATACAAGGGAAACACGGTGGCTTTGAGCTTGAGAGAAGTGGCTCGGTCTTCATGGACCCTCTGCCCTTTCAAGAGTTTGCATTTGGGGACATGCCAGATGCTGCTCAAGGACCATCTGCCCTGGATTGGCCGTTGAGTGTTTTAAAACAAGGTATTACCAGCAGAATGGGGTGTGCTGAGCTGATGGCTACTTGTACTGCAAGCAGTGACAGGGCCTTCGTGAGCAAGGACTCCTTAGAGACTTCCTGGAGAACAGAGAGGATAGTGCCTCCAGGTCAGACCCAGTCCACTCAGCAGGATGCACCTCAGGGGGATCGTAGGCATCCTCAGGTCTTAGGTGCCGTGTTTTGAGGAAGGGGTAGAAGACGGAGGACTGAGAGGGCATTTTCATTCATTTTAACCAAAGTAGCCTTGCTATTAAAAATAGCTCGTCAGCAACAGAGAGAACCCCACATTTGCACCTGTTTCATTATTTTCCAGCCTTCACTGCCAGCACAGGCAAGGTTGTGGGCATTGCGCAATGCTCTCCTGGGGGCTCTTTCTGCACATGGCCTGAGCCCTGCGGTGCCTTGGCATCTGGGGTGGTGGTGGTGGGGTACCTGCCACTCGCCTGCGGCAGCTTTTATTCCTCTAGTGTGCTGTGTTTTAAAAAGTTGGCTTTTCTTGTGGTGGTATGGGCAAGGGGGTAGTGCACGATATGGCAGAAGAGGAAATGGGCAAGAAAAAGGTGAAACAAATAATCAGGAAAGAGCTTGGCAAAAAGAGCCAGGAGCAGCTCAGAATATAGTCTGGCTGGGAGGGTAAGAAGATTCTTACATGTGGGGCTTCGGTGAGTCCCAAACTAGAAGATGCTTCTGTTTCTATTAGCAGAAGTGCCAGTGTTGGAAGACATGGCAAGGAAGGCCGTCTTAAGATGCAGCGTCCCCCCATTTTATGCAGGGCTGCAGGCCCCTCCTCTGCTTCCTTGAGGCTGATGATTGGGTCCGACTCCCAGCTGCTGCTTCAGCACTGCCACGAGCTAGAACACAGCAGAGTGGCCCCGCAGCCGTGAACTGTGCTCCAGGGAAGTGACGAGACCGTTTGTGGGCTGCAGCTTCCTTATAATTTCCTTTACCACCATCCACCCTGTCAGCTGGCCATTCTAGTCAGCCTGGGATGAAGTGGGATGGCTGGGCCTGTGAAGCAGGAGTAGGATGGAAGGCAGCCTGGCCTTTGTGCTCTCAGACCCCAGCCCAACCCAGAAAGCTCTCATCTCTAGGCTGGGGTGGCAAAGACACAGCTGTGTTCATAGGGAAGTTTTTGAATATATCAGGGAATGATGGGACCTATTCTGTCCATGGGGCTGACAGCTGTGTGCTGGAATTTGCCATGAGCAGAGGTGTGGTGCCTTACGTAGGAGTATGCATCCCTGCATATAAAAGCTGTGGTTTATCAAATCTTGCTTGTAAAGCCCCGCTGGGCTTAATTTACCAAAAGTGTTTCAGTGTCTTAAAAAAAAAAAAAAAAAGATTTTAAGGAGAGCGCCTCAAGCATCCTGCAGATCCTGTGTGCCTGTGTGCCTGTGTGCCTGTTCCCCAGGATGGGTGAAGAATAAGGAGTAGGAAAAGTGAAATGGCTATGTTTGCCATGAAAACAGGGTGCCAGAGTTGGAGAAGCAAGCATTAAATATTAAAGGATGAAATCTGCATGTTATTAGAAGAAAGGACAAGGAAAATAATGGCTTTGGATTTGCTTGGCTGTGAAGCCCTATAAAAGTACTGAAGGTTAGTAATTCCGCCTTGATAACCTGCTTCTATAGAGATCATGCTAAAGAGGAGTCTAAATAATTGATCAGACTTTTCTAGAAAATAGACTTAATGTTTAGGGAGGGAAGAGGGAAGTCTGAAGCAAATCTGGGTGCCCTCTCTTTTCTGTCTCTTTTCGTCCTCCTCCTTCTGGTTATTGAGAACACGCAGGGCGGTAGCTAGCTCGAGGTCCGGCTCAAGTTGCATGACTGGCCCCACTCCTGGAGTGTCTATGAGAACCGAGGACAGTGACTACAGAAAGCCTGCTGTCCCTTGTTCCATCATGAGGCCGGGTGCTCTCTGTTTTCACAGCCACTTTGCTCCTGGAGCGGAACTTCCGTCCCTTTGCAGAGCTGCCGGCACAGCAGCAGTCGGCGCTGAGCCACATCCTCCAGGCCGTCCTGTCTGATGAAGAGCTACTCAGGGCCCTGGAGCAAGTGGTAAGACCAGGGAGCTCGCAGGCTAGCGCTCCACCTGGGTTGCGGAAGTGGACAGACTAGATCTCTTGGGATAAAGCCATGAGCTGGGATAAGATTGTATATGAAATGTCCCCATCTCCTTTAAACCTTAAGCTTCTTTTTTTTTTTTTTCTTACTCCCAGGTCCTTAGTGTTCTAACTGAAAAAAGGTGCCTGAAGTAAGGAAGGTCCTTAGTGTTCTAACTGAAAAAAGGTGCCTGAAGTAAGGAATCAAAGGGTAGATTGGTTCCCTAAGGGCTGTTGTAACAAGTTACTACAAACTCTATGGCTTGGAACCACAGAAATTTATTCTGTTAGATTTGGGTCTGGAGGCTGGAAGTCTGGAGCTGAGATGTCAGCAGGGCCTTTCTTCACCCACAGGCTCAGGTGGAAAACACTACCTTGCCTCTTCCAGCTTTGGTGGCCCCTGATGCTCCCTGGCTTGTGGCCACACTGCTCCATGTCTCCCCATGCCTCCATCCTGTGTCCGTGTCCTCCCCTTTTCCATTAAAGGACACTCACCATTGGATATGGGGCCCACTCCAGTCCAGGAGTATCTCATGTTGAGATCCTTACTTTCATTATATCTTCAAAAACTCTTTCTCTTATTCCAAATAAGGTCATACTCTGGAGTTCTAGGTAAACCTATGTTTGAGGGGCCTCGATTCAACCCCACTATAAGGGGGCTGTGTGGTAGAGTCCAATAAGTCAAGCTACTCTACTTACAATAGATTACAAAGCAGGCCTTTGTAGTTTTCTGGTTTGTAGCAGAAGGATTTTCTGGAGAGTTTGAGTTCCTTAACTATGAGTTGTACAAGTGGTAAAGGACCCACCAGCTGCCAACCTGCCAGACTTTGTGCTCCTTTGTTAAGAAGGCTGGGGCACTATTAAGATGACTTACAGTTTTTTGTTTTGTTTTGTTATTCTATTATTTAGAGTTTTTGAACTCTGATTTTCTGATTCAATGCTTAATGGTTTCCAGGGGAGCATTCATGCTATTTTTCCTTCTTGCAACTGGATTGTGGCAAAAGAGCTTAGCTACCAGTGATGGAACCTGCAGTTGTAGAAACAGTCCAGCCGTCCAGGAGATCTGGGTGTTCTGGAGGATCTGGAGCTCGCAGGAGGGTGTGCTACCCGAGAACACAGATGTTTCAAAAAGCCCACCGACTTATACTTCCTAACATAGCTCCTTCCAAGAGGGAAATGTCAGACCAGTACCCTTTGGAAAGAACATCAACTGCCCTGTCAGGGGTGGGAGCAAGCTGCCCAGGTGGGGCCGGTGGGCTTTTCTATGAATGCATCTGATGTGGAGGTTTCAATGGAAGCGAGCTTGCTAGGTGGTGCTGAGCTGGCTGAGGTGGCCCTCCCTGGCACAGCCACTCACCTCCCAGTGGCCCAGTGTGGATGGCTGATGCTGCCTTGGGCCCAGCTGGGAATGTGGTTGGTGGTTGGTGTGCCAAGTTTAAAGCTGGAGAACCGTGATGGGACAATGCTTTTATGTACCCCTCCTTAGTTCTGCATGTAGTCACCTGTTCCTGACAGAACCTGCCTTGTCCTGAAAGGTTCTATCCATAGTTCCTGCATCCCTCCTCCCCTCTCTGTGAAAGAATAGTACTGGGCAAGCCTGTTTACTTATGGGAGATTAGTGATTTCAAAGCAGAAAAGAATACAGTGTTTTCTTTACTTGGGAGATAGTGGAAGGGTAAGCAGCAGCTTGTCATGGGGCAGAGGCTCAGCTTGGCCTTTGGCTTTACTAGATCTTTCTCTTTTCTCTTCCCCCTGCAGTGTGAGGATGTGGTCAGTGGCCTGTCATCCCCACTGGCGACACTGGGGGAGCTGAAGCCCCCACAGCAGCAGGACCTCACAGCTTTCCTATGCTCGGTGGGGTACAGAGTGCAGGGCGGGTGTCCAGGCCTGGAGGATGCAGTCAGCAACCAGAAGCTCTTTTCTACAGCGTACTTCTTGGTCAGTGCACTAGCAGGTATGGAAAAAGAAAGAAATGCTGCTGTTGCTTTGAAATTGCTTTGCTTACTATTATGGAAGATTTGGTACATGCTGTTCCCGCCCTTTCGGCAGTACAGGGACGGTGAGTGGCAAGCTGAGGAAGCCTTTATGACTGCTGTGAGAAACCACGGACTTGTGTGACACCAGTCTCCTCTCATGTCTCTCTCCTCCTCCGGGGAGAGCTGTCTACGGGCACACATCCTCAGCAACACAGGAAGGCATCTCCTCAAACATAGCCTGTGGTTCACTCTTGGGCTTTGACACTGCTGCGTGGCCGTGGCTTTCATCTGGCACCTGCTCTCCCCCCTAGTGTTTTGGTACTTCTGATCCTCTTTGCAAACTTGTTGGCCACTTTGTGGGCATTTGGGCAGGGAGAGTGTGGTGAGCATCCTGATACACTAGGATGCTGGGCCCAGTAGCAACACAGCCCTCTACCCTGATCTCGAGATGGCTCTCCCAGGGCCACGGCCATGGAGTTATCACCTAGCAGTGGACCCTGCCCTGCCACTCCTTTACCACTGCCATCCAGGGTTCCCCATGCCAGAGGGGTTGGGATATCAGAAGGTAGACATTCTGTGTGGGCTTTCAGTTCCTTCAAGGAAAGGCAAGACCTGCCTGGCCCATCAGCCTTGATCCTTGTCTCCACAACTTTCCTTCCTGGTGATATTTCTTGAGGTATTGAGTTCAGGATGCATTTATGGTTCCTCCCCAGTGCCACAGAAGAACAAAGGGCAAGGAGATCTTCAGTTTTTACGAAATTAGTCAGAGAGGATCCCTCTCTCAGGTTTATTTGCTCCTTCTCTAAGTCATGGATAAAAGTATTGGCTGGGACAGGACATAAGATAGAGGCCTGTGGAACATCACCAGAGAGCTTTTGCCCCTGAAGTTAACGTCAGTGTTGTACTAGAGTTTTTAAATATAGTCATTCTATCAGGGGCTAATCTACTGGCCACAGTGTTCCAGCATTTTCTTCACATACCCTATTACTTATTGAAATATTTCTATCAATAGGCTAGTTCAGTGATATGAAATACGCAGCATGTGTCTGACATCATGAATGCATCACACTGAAACCTTGCACACAGGGAGCCGCTGGGAGTTGACTCATAACATGAGACTTATTTGCTGTTCCTGAGCTGGAAGCTTGGGGGTGGTGGAATCTTTAAGTGCAGCTGAAAATAGTCAATTTCTGAACCCACCATGCCCTCTTGCATCTCTCTGAACTGTTATCTCATTTACATGTCAGTCACTGTGGAGGTCAGATCAGCTCTTTCATTGTAAAGCCCTTCCATTAGTGTTCCTCCTAATCCTCGGCCTTTCTGAGTTGCCCTTTTCTTCTTATGAAAACAGCCTTCTCTCTTTAGAACCTGGGGAAAATGCTGGAACGGAAAATGGCCTTTCCTTGAGTCCTATCTGCAGCTTTCTGAATAGCACCAGGTACCAGCTTCACCGTGCCTGACTTTTAAAAATTGAGATAAAACTTACATCATATTAGTTTAAGGTGTACTATGATTCCATATCTGTATACATTGTAAAATGATCACAATATGTCTAGTTAATATCCATCACCATTCATAGTTATACATTTTTCTTACAGAATTTTTAACATTCTTAGCAACTTTCAAATACACAGTATAGTGTTGTAACTACAGACATCATGTTGTACATTACATGCTCATGATTTACTATAGTGGCTGCACTAATTTACATTCCTACCAACAGTGCACAAGGATTCCCTTTTCTCCATATCCTCACCAACACTTGTTATTTCTTGCCTTTTTGAAACATAGCCATTCTAACGGGTGTGAGGTAGTATCTCACTGCGATTCTGATCTGCATTTCTCTGAAGATTAGTACCATTAAGTGCCTTTTCATGTAGATCCTCTGCTCATTTCAATCAGATGGTTTGGATTTTTTTGTTTCATTTTATTTTGCTATTGAGTTACATGAGCCCTTTTATATTTTGGACATTAACACCTTCTCAGAATTATCTTTGTAAATATTTTTTCCCATTCAATGGGTTGCCATGTAATTTTTTGATTTCCTTTGCTGTGTAGAAGTTCTTTGGTTTGATGTAGTCCTACTTAATTCTGGTTTTGTTACCTTTGGTCTTAGTGATGATTTTTTGGATTTGACACCTAACGCAGTCTCAAGGAGCTTATTACCTTTGTTGTTTTCTTCTAGGATTTTTATGGTTTCAGGGCTTATGTTCAAATCCTTGATCCATTTCGAGTTAATTTTTTTGTATGGTGTATAATAATGATTGTTTCTCTTTTTATGGCTTTGGATATGGCTGTTCAGTTTTCCCAATGCCACTTACTGAAGAGATTATCTTCTCCCCGTTGTATATTTCTGGCTCCTTGTTGTAAATTAATGGCCCAAATGGGTTTAATTTCTGGGCTCTCTATTCTGTTCCATTGATCTATAGTCTGTTTTTATGCCAGTATCATACTGTTTCATTAGTATAGCTTTGTAATATAGTTTGAAATAAGACTATGTGATGCTGCCAGCTTTGATCTTCTTTCTCAAGATTGCCTTGGTTATTTGGGGTCTTTTGTGGTTCCATACATGTTTTAGAATTCCATACATGTTTTTCTATTTCTGTAAAAAATGCCATTGGAATTTTGATAAAGATTGCATCCATGGGCGCCTGGGTGGCTCAGTGGGTTAAGCCGCTGCCTTCGGCTCAGGTCATGATCTCAGGGTCCTGGGATCGAGTCCCGCATCGGGCTCTCTGCTCAGCAGGGAGCTTGCTTCCTTCTCTCTCTGCCTGCCTCTCTGCCTACTTGTGATCTCTGTCTGTCAAATAAATAAATAAAATCTTTAAAAAAAAAAAAAAAAAAAAAAAAAAAGATTGCATCCAAACTGTACATTGCTTTGGGTAGTATGGACCTATTAATATTACATTCATATTCTTCCAATTCACAAGCACAGACTATTTTTCCATTTATTTATGTCTTCTTCAATTTCTTTCATCATTGTCCTATAGTTTTCAGTGTAGAGGTCTTTCGTCTCTTTGATTAAATTTATTCCTAATTATTTTATTCTTTTAGATGTAATTACAAATGGAATTTTCTTAATTTCTTTTCTGATTATTTATTAGTATATAGAAACATAACAGAGTTTTGTATATTGATTTGTATTCTGTAACTTGTCTAAATTTATTCTAATAGTTTTTCTGGTGAAGTCTTTATTTTCTATGTATAGTACCATGTCATCTGTAAATAGTGACTGTCTTACTTCTTTCATTCCAGTTTTGATGTGTTTTAGTTCCTCTTCTAGCCTAATTGCTCTGGGTAGGATTTCTAATACAATATTGAATAAAAGTGGTAAGAGTGGGCATCCTTGTCTTGTTTCTGATCTTAGAGGAAAAGCTTTCTGCTTTTCACCATTAATGATGTTAGTTAGCTGTGGGCTTGTCATATATAGCCTTTTCACGTTGAGGTGCATGACCCCTATCCTTTATTGACAAGTTTTTTTGTTTATCATCATAAATGGATGTTGAATTTTGTTAAATGCCTTTTTTGCATCTATTAAGATGATCATGATTCTGATCCTTCATTTTGTTACTGTGGTGGATCATGTGATTGATTTGTGGAAGTTCAGCTATCCTTGCATTCCTGGAACTAATCCCATTTGATCATGGTGAATGAGCATTTTAATGTACTGTTAAAGTCAGTTTGTGAATATTTTGTTGAGGACTTTTGCATCTGTGTTCATCAGGGATATTGGTCTGTCAATTTTCTTGTGGCTTCCTTGTCTAGTTTTGTTGTCATGGTAATACTGGCCTTGAAAAAGGAGATTCCAAGAGTTTGAGAAGGATTCGCATTAGTTTTTCTTTAGATTTTATTTTTATTTAAGTAAGCTTTATGTCCAGTGTGAGACTTGAACACATGACCCTGAGATCAAGAGTCACATGCTCACCAACTGAGCCAGCCAGGTTCCCCAGTAATTTTTTTCTTTTCTTTCCTTTTTTTGGTGGGCAGCAAAGCAAGGTTTATTGAGTGACTTACTGAGTGGTAGCAAAGTAATAGTATAATGCTCCCAAGGAGGGAGGGGACCTGAAGGTATTGCCCTAATTTTTCTTTAAATATTTCATAGAATTTGCCCATGAAGCCATCTGGTCCTGGACTTTTGTTTGTTAGGAGGTTTTTCGTTACTGATCCAGTTTATTTCTTCCTGATTTTGTCTTGGTTGTATGTTTGTAGGAATTCATCCATTTCTTCTAGCATGTCCAGTTTGTTGGTGTGTAGATGTTCATAGTAATTTCTCAAGATCCTTTTATGTCTGTGTTGTCAGTTGTAATTTCTCTTTCATTTCTGATTGTATTTACTTGAGTCTTCTATTTCTTGGTGAGTATAGCTAAAGGTTTATCAATTTTATCTTTTCAAAGAACCAGCTCTTAATCGTATTGGTCTTTCTAGTCTCTATTTCATTTATTTCCACTATGATCTTTTGTTATTTCCTTCTACTAAGTTTGGGCTAAGTTTATTATTCCCTTCCTAGTTCTTTCAGGTATAAAGTTAGATGTATATTTGAGATTTTTCTTGTTTCTTAAGGGAAATTATTGCCATGAACTTCCCTCTTGAGTTGCCTTTACTGCATCTAATGAGTTTCAGTATATTTCCATTTTCATTTGTCTCTAGGTATCTTTTGAATTCTCCTTTGATTTCTAATTTCACCCATTGGTCATTGAGAAGCATTTTTGATGTCTATATATTTGTGACTTTTCCAGTTTCTTCCGTTAATTGGTTTTAGTTTTATACCTCTGAAATCACATTGAGCATCTTTTCCAATCACAGTCTTCTTAAATTTATTAAGACTTGTTTTGTGGCATAACATGTGATCTAACCAAGGGAATATTCTATATATATCTGTTAAGTCCATCTTAATGTGTTAAGGCTGAGCTTTCCCTGATGATAATTTGTCTGGATGATCTATCTCTGATAAGTGGGGTATGATGTCCCTACTGTTATT